AAGAGATACACAAGAGATACCCATGAATACCCCAGAGATACCTAAGAGATACACAAGAGATACCCCAGAGATACCTAAGACATACCCATTAATACCCAAGAGATACCTAAGAGATACCTAAGAGATACCTAAGAGATACCCATTAATACCCAAGAGATACCTAAGAGATACTCCAGAAATACCCATAAATACCCCAGAAAACAATGACTTTCATGGGAAATAGACACTTAACCTGCATATCCACGAGCAGTCATTTGATAACAGAGTAATGTCTGGTTTACTGAATCCCCCAATGGAGGGGGGACGGGGGGTGCAGAACCAGCTGTGTGGTGGGGGGGGGGGGGGGGGCTGACCTGTCGCCTGTGGAAGTCGGCGGCTGTGGACTTCACGGCGATCAGCATGTAGGGGGGAGGGCCCCGGCATTTCTCTGGCTGGTCTATGAGCAGCCGGAAGTTCCTGTTGTCCTTGTCCCGCAGATAGGCCTGGAAGTCGAAGGCTGGCATGGTGGGCGGGGCCCTGGCGGCGGGCCGGGTCGGCGCCACGCCCCTCCTGCGTGACTTGGACTTGGTCTTGGATTTGGGCAGCGGAGGTTTGGATTTGCTCCGGGGCTCACAGGGCGGCAGCTGAGGCTCCGCAGGAAGCTGGACCATAAGACAGGATATTAAGCAGAACCCGGGCCAGCAGGACAGAAAGCCGTTTGCAGATGTTTGCAGATGTTTGATCCAAAAGGGCAGCGTCAGCATTAGCTCATCTGAATCCTCTGCAGCCACATTCAAATAACCTGGAACAAACTTCCAGTCCGAATGGAAGACTCTGATCTGAGGCTCTGTGGACGTCAACGTCTGGCAGGAAATCCAGTTTCCTTTATTCCTACATGAGGAAATCACCCAAACCATTTCATCAAGAACAAGACGGCGGGGACCCAAATCCTTCTTATTCCCAAATTCTGGGGCTGAAGCCTGTTTGAGGTCCCTCATCAGAGGGACCATCATCTGGTTAACCAGATATTAACCAGATGTTAAAGAGCAGTTAAACAACTGTTAACCAGCTGATAAACAACTGTTGTAAACAACGAGCTGTTAACCAGATGTTAACCATCTTAAAAGGCTAAAGAAGGAACATAAATGTATTAAAAAGGAGAATTCGAACTTCATGAAGTGAGAGCAACCAGCTTTTATTTCTGCTTTGTTCTAGATCTCTGGATCAGTTGGAGATAATAAGTTTAATAACTAGACTTTGTCCTGGTTCAGGTAGTTTTTCTTCATATAGGCTCAGTGGGTTTATCTTATGATTTTGAAAATGTCTGTTTAGAGATTTAATTCAATGTTTTTGCTATTTGGTTCTAAGGGTCCAATTGACTTATTTACAACATTTTAATTCCACAATAGGAACATAATTGGTGTGAAATGTCTAAAAGCATTTCCCTTTAGATTTCAAACAGTAGTGTCTGATAGCATCTGCTATGAGGCCAAGAGGTCAAAGGTCATAGAAAAAAGAAGGATCCTGGTACAGAGAGGCAGAAATGCAGTGTCCCCTCAGGAGAACAGGCTTTCAGGAGGTAAAGGAGAAGCTTGATCTGCTTCTGTTTAGAGCCCCCACCTGCTGGGGCTCCTGGCCCCCTCTGGCCCCGCCGGCCCCCAGCAGCGTCCGGCTGGAGCTGGTGGAGCCGTGGATCTCCAGCCTCCAGGCCGGCCTGCTCCACCCGGGGGAGAGCAGCACCTGGAAGGGGGCAGCTGTTAGAGGGGGGGCACTGGAGGGGGGGGGGCTTATGGACTAATCTTGTTAGTTCTGTGTGGTTGCTGCTTCTTATCAGATGGAGCGACTCGCCCCTCCTTGCGAATAATTAATCTAAATACAAATTTATCCTTAATTTGAAGTGTTTATATTCATTTTGGAGCCTTGTTTTAAACTCACCTTGTGATCGATGGAGGTTTATGCTGTTGATAAAGTTATTACTACTTTTCAGTATTATATCCACTGCATGTTTAATATTTTTGGCAGATTGATGTAGTCTTTTGATAGAATGGTTTCTTTAGTGGTGATTCATATGAAGTGCATCAGTTATATCAGAGGTGGGAATTGTGAGGGAAATCAATACATGTGTAGTCACTTTCTTCATTTCTCTCTGGGGATTTTTCCACATATGGATCTATTTTGAAGGTTGTTTTCTCTGTGGTGGGCCTCTCTGACCTGTCGAGCGTAGAGCAGCAGGCCCAGGAGCCCCAGCAGCACCAGGGTGCACAACACGTCCCCCTTCACGTGCAGCAGCCTCCTCATCGTCAGCAGCTTCCTCCTCAGCATCTTCCGGGGTGGGCCTCCAGTCACAGGCCGGAGGGGAACATCCTCGCAGGCCTCAGGGGCTCCGAGCAGTTATGGGGGAACCACAAATGCTCTGCTTCTCTCCATCCTCAGACGTCAGGACGATCCTGGAAAACATCGGCATCAAAGGCAATGAAAAGAGTCTGTCAGGGAGCAGAACCAGAACCAGAACCAGAACCAGGGCCTGAACCTGCTTCAGCAGCCAAAGCTGGCAGGCCCCACAGGACCGGGTGGAGGTTCTGGTTCAGCTCTTCCCGGGTTTGGCTGCGGGGTTAGGAGTAAAAATGACAGATCTGACAGGCAGCAGCTCAGCCACAGACTGAAAGTTTTAAAAGGGAAAAGTTTCTCCTGGATCCTCCTGAACCCACCAGCAGGCTCTGAGAACATGCGCCCCGCGCAGAGAACACTATGTCCCGAAGCATCCCTCCATCCAACGGGAAAGCGCATCCCGCCGCACGCGCGTCTGGCAGCCTCGCACATGCACGCGCCAAATCTGCTCGCGCAATCAAGTCACGACCCGTTCGCGGGTTGTCGCTCCTGCCAAACGCGAGTGTGCGCACTTCAGAGTCCCGGAGTTTTGCCGCTCACACCTACCAGAAGAGGCTTCCAGCTCAGGACGTAAAACATCTGCAGCGGCCGCCACATCTGTCCCCGGAGCTCCGGAGGGGTGTGAGGCAGAAGCGTCCGAGCCCGGAGCTGCGTTCGGGTCCGAGGGGGCCGGCCCGTGCTGCCTTAAGGTGCGCTGGGAAAAACGAGGCGCCTAAACCAGAGAGGACCTCTTTACAGGAGGCTGGCCAAAGCCGTGATGCGGACCAGAAACCGCTTCCCACGGGTTCATTTCAGAAGGAAAAACGATTTCAAGCAACCAGAAAGTCTGTCACGTCAGCGGAGTTCACTCTAAAATAAAGAAATAAACCAAACTCAGGCTGTCAGTGATCAGAGTCATTTAATGTGAGTCCGAAAGGGGAGAACATGACAGGATGTGGAGTTAACCGGAGGTCCGTGAAGGCCTCCTCTCATGTGATTTATAGTGGAGCAAAGGAAATCCAGATGCCAACACAGCAAGAGGGGAAAAGGGAGAGGGGAAAGAATGTGGGGGAGGACATGAGTCATGTTTGCTGTTACCAAAAAGTTACCAAACCCCAAAACGCTGAATGGTGCGTCTGAAACCAGCAGGTCTGTTGGAGCCGGTCCAGATGTGCGGCTCACAGCAGCTCAGGGTTCATTAGAGGTAGAGCTGCTGAGCAGCAGCAGGATTCATTCTGCAGATCAGATGGGATGTTTGCGGCCATTCAAACCCCTGAAATGCTTCAGATCAGCATCCAGATCAGCTCTGACAACAGCAGGTTTTCCATCTACCTGTGAGCCTCTGACCAGAACCAGAGAGGAAACACTTTCTGAGTTCTGCCTCCAGAATCAGCTCTGATTTCCACTAAATGAGCTCTGTTCCAGCAGATTTTACAGAGAAAAGTGAAAACATGTGTTCAGGAGCTGGAAACAGGTTGATTTCAGACCAAAAACAGATTCAGATGTCAGTTTTTCCACAAGAAGCTGAAAAAATCCCACAAATTCATTTGGGAATCACATACATTACAAAAAAAAAATCACAATAACTGAAATTCAAACATTGAATTGCTGCCTTTTCCTCCATAATCAGTTGGACTAAAATGATGGAAACATGTCAGTTCTTCCCTTAATAAGCCATCAGAGCTAAATCACAATTTTCACAGAGTTTCAACCACTTGAATTGGAAAATAATTTAACCTTTAATCAAACCAAAGACAGTCTAACTCACACATCTTCTCTGGCACATCTTCTTCTCTTCTCTCGTCCGGCTGTGCAGCCTCTAAACATCTGCCAGCCCTCTCACACAGCATCACTACCCAACAGGGGGCTGCTGGGGATCCTCTGGGCTGGCAGGGAGGTGCGGGTCCGGGGTTCTAGGAGTCTGGGATCCAAGTCCTGGTTCTAGGAGTGAGGCTGGCCCTGTGCAGTCCCCCCTCTGGCCTCAGGAGGACGCCGTCCCCGCCCTCATGACCCTGAACAGCGCGTTGACGTTGTTGCTCTTGATGGCGTCCCGACACGCAGAGATCACCTGGTTCTTGGGTTTTCCCACTGGGCAGAAAGAGAGATCACCTGGTCACCGGACTGCTGGACCCTGAAGGGTTTTCAGACCAATCAGAGACAAACCCAAAGGACCCGAAAGACCTGGGGGACCTGAAGGACTCAAAGGACCTGGAGGATCTGAAGGATCTACAGGACCCAAAGGACTTGAAGGACCTAAAGGACCTGGAGGATTCAAAGGACCTGAAGGACCCAAAGGACCTGGAGGACCTGAAGGATCTACAGTACCCAAAGGACCTGGAAGGCCTGAAGGATCTACAGGACCTGAAAGACCCCAAGGACCCCAAAGACCTGGAGGACCTGGACCTAAAAGTCCTAAAGGACCCGGAGGATCCAAAGGACCTTAAGGACCTGAAGGCCCCAAAGGACCTAAAGGTCCTAAATGACCTAAAGGCCCCAAAGG